CACATGCTCTGAAACTAAATAACACTCTCACTCAACTTAATCTTTGACACAACTAAATATCCGATAGAGGAGGTGAAGCACTAGGAGAAGCACTGAAAGTAAACAACACTCTCACTGAGCTTAATCTGTGGGGCAACCAAATATCCGGTAGAGGAGGTGAAGCACTAGGAGAAGCACTGAAAGTAAACAATACTCTCATCCAACTTAATCTTGCATGGAATCGAATATCCGAAATAGGAGGTGAAGCACTAGGAGAAGCGCTGAAAGTAAACAACACTCTCACTCAACTTGATCTTAGACACAACGAAATACCGGATAGAGGAGTTGAAGCACTAGGAGAAGCACTGAAAGTAAACAACACTCTCACTCAACTTAATCTTGCAGAGAACCAAATATCCGATAGAGGAGGCGAAGCACTAGGAGAAGCACTGAAACTAAACAACACTCTCACTCAACTTAATCTTGGACACAACAAAATTTCCGGTAGAGGAGGTGAAGCACTAGGAGAAGCACTGAAAGTAAACAACACTCTCACTCAACTTGATCTTGCATGGAATCTAATACCCGATATAGGAGGTGAAGCACTAGGAGAAGCGCTGAAAGTAAACAACACTCTCACTCAACTTGATCTTGGACACAACAAAATTTCCGGTAGAGGAGGTGAAGCACTAGGAAAAGCACTGAAAGTGAACAACACTCTCACTGAGCTTAATCTGTGGTGCAACCAAATATCCGATAGTGGAGGTGCAGCACTAGCAGAAGCACTGAAAGTAAACAACATTCTCACTGAACTTGATCTTGGACACAACCAAATATCCGGTAGAGGTGGTGAAGCACTAGGAGAAGCACTGAAAGTGAACAACACTCTCACTGAGCTTAATCTGTGGGGCAACCAGATATCCGATAGAGGAGGTGCAGCACTAGGAGAAGCACTGAAAGTAAACAACACTCTCACTCAACTTAATCTTAGACACAACCAAATATCCGGTAGAGGAGTTGAAGCACTAGGAGAAGCACTGAAAGTAAATAACACTCTCACTCAACTTACTCTTACCTAATATCCGGTAAAAGGGTGAAGCAATGCGAGAGTCGTTGCAAAAAGATGGAATAGTCGTTCTCTAGTATGCTTCGGAGGCAGCGTGATTTTGTTTTTTTGTGGAAGTTTTCCTGTTTCTTTGTGTGTTGTTATGTGCGATTGTGGTCTATGTTTCTTGAATTGTTTCTTGAATGGGTGGAAGCGTTGACGACATACTGGAGTTATACGAGCTAGACCGACCTGCCTACATTCAGGATGAGACTCCAATGAGAATTAGTGCATTTATTCAGTTCGTGGGATGGAGCTATGATCTCGAAAGCTAGATCAGAGTTGATGAGCTCTGGATCGCGGACTAATGATGTTGTTCAGTGGCCATGAGTAATGCAGAAGACGGAATGTGGAGTCTTAAAACCGACTTTTAAGTAAAGGTTTTTCAAGTCTTTTCTGTCTTTATAAGCGTCGGTAAGGTTGAGCGCAACTTTTGGAAATAGATTTATTGCCGGGCGAGTCCCTATTACCGCATTATATGTTAGTATTACAGAAGCATATTCGTTGCTTATAAAACATAGAATGTCGGTAACGTTGGTATTTAAAAACGCAATTGTAGCTGTTTTTAACATTATTGCTGTGAATGTTTCTACAATAACAAGGATGATAATATTGATTGTGTTGATGAGCGTTCGGTCGACACGGGATTTCCATACAACTAATAAGAACCGGTGCTAATTCTGGTGCAGTTGTATCATAAACGTTATTGAAAGAACATACGAGTCCATTTCGCTTTTGGTGACTATCGCGTACGACGACACATGCACAGTTTTTTCCTGGAATCAAATAATAATGTTTCCAAAAGGAAATGAAAATTGCATATAATTTATCATCACAATTTATATTTAATGAGCTGTTTGGAGAAAAATAAAACTTTCGATATTTTTTCGGTTTTTCGGAATGAATGAACTTTTTACTGAAATTTTGTTTTTCTCCAAACAGCTTCATATACACATCAATGGGTGTAGTTTTTGATGTTGATTCCGAATATTACCTCTATTTTGATTTAAAACCAGTTTTAGGCTGTGACAACTGGATAAAACTGGAAAAATGTTGGAAAATTAGCGTCAGTGGCGCATATTGTTACAAACAATATGGCCAGCAGTCAGGTCATACGCACCACATATGTCAGCTAGTTAGTCCTTCTCTTTAGCTCGAACTAGACACAAATTGTGTCATTGGGAGATCTGGACGAGCTTTATTCTTAAGTTCTTCAGTATAGAGAGAATGAACAACACTTTACTGATGTAAACCATCAGCGAAATTGTTTATCATGATATTTTTGTATTACTTTAAGACCAGTCACGGAAATCACCATACTTTAGCCTTCATAGCGGCAGGAAACGCCTCTGGATCTTGTGGCGATAAGTGTCAGCAATCGCTCTTTAGCATCTTTAATATCTAAATCATCTGGAACCTTCGATACGGACGTTCATCTTATGCTTAATTTTTCATTAAGAACCAAAATTGAACAGCTCAAAATCGCCACTGAAGCAATAATTAAACAAGCCGCATTCTCATTATCTGCTACCGTGTGAATCTACGTATTACTCTGACTTAAGGAACCATAATCGAAAACAATTACGGCCATTTGTATTTTATGAAGAGGTGAGATGTTTTGAATTGGAAGATAGAACACAAATATAGACACACAAATATAGACATTCTTAACTTCATAAACATTCAAAAACAGCAGTATAGCTTTTATAAAAAGACATCAACACTAGTTCAATCTTTTGTATACAAATACTTTAATTTGCCACCTTAAATATACTTCTTTCTTTTTTTTGTTTGTATTTGTTTAACAACAGAAGTTTTTAATTTCTGTCTAGCTTACATTTTTCAACTTCTTGATGTGTGCATGATTCAAGATAAAATTGAAATTCTTATTGCTTAATCTTGTCTTAAATCCTTCCACCCATCTTTTTTATCGTGTTATGTGTATTTTATATGACTCTTTTTTTTGTTAACCTTTTCCAAGGAACAATAAACTATCTCAATGTTAAAACAAAAAAAAACTTATGCTGTTGATGGAAAGTGTTCGGAGATAAAGTCACACGTGGATTTGCTGATGCGTTGAAAGTTCAGATCTCTATCGGATATTTGGCTCACTGCAAGATCAAGTTGAGTGAGAGTGTTGTTTACTTTCAGATCGTTTGCAAGTAGGCAAACAGCCGTGGCTTGTTCAAAAGAATTACCAACCGTCGTGTTCTGGTGGTTGCTGAGTTCCATAATCAGTCTTAGTGACTATCACTAGGGTAGGCGAACCCGCAGTTTCATGATTCTGTTTCATATTTGATCAAGAGGCGAAATTGATTTAAACGCTTTTTGTTTAAAACCATTCAAATTCATGGATGTTCCAAAACTTTTTACATTATTTGGCATTTCTAATATGAAACAGATAGAGCATGTGCATGTATGTTGATGGTTAGCTGTTTTTCATTACACATATTTCGATTTTGAATTTGAATTCGTGTTTTAATACATGATGTTGGTGAAAATTCATTTCGACATTGGAATGATAAATTATATGCAATTTTCATTTCCTTTTAGAAACATTATTATTTGATACCAGGAAAAAACTGTGCATGTATCGTCGTACGCGATAGTCACCAAAAGCGAAATTCAAGAATCAAAACAAGAACAAAATTCAAGAATCCAAAATCTTCACTTCTTGGTGTTTTCTCCAAGACCTTGGACAATATCTTTGGTACGAATATTACTTTCCCATAGAAGTTTGTTTTCGCCATTTTATTCGGAAATTTTCCTAAACTTTTGACAATAAGTCTTGCTAAAAATAAAATCTTCTGAGTTATCGAGTGTACTGAATACGAAGCAG